AGCGAACCAGGAGCCAGTGTGTGCCCGGGTAGCCAAGACAGCCACCAGCATCCTGGCTTGTGTCAGCACTAGCATGGCCAGCAGGAGCAGGGCAGGGATCGTCCCCCTGGACTTGGCACAGGGGAGGCCACACCTTGAATCCTGGGTTCAGTTTTGGGCCCTTCACTCCAAGAAGGACCTTGAGGGGCTGGGGTGTGTCCAGAGAAAGGCCACGAAGCTGGGGAAGGGTCTAGAGGCCAAGTGTGGTGAGGAGCAGCTGAGGGACCCGGGGGTGCTGAGCCTGGAGCAAAGGAGGCTCAGGGGAGGCCTTCTGGCTCTCCACAGCTCCCTGACAGGAGGCTGGAGCCAGGTAGGGGTCGGGTTCTTCTCACAGGGAACAAGCAACAGGACAGGAGAAAATGGCCTCAATTTGTGCCAGGGCCGGTTTAGGTTGGACATCAGGAAAAACGTCTTCCCCACCAGGGCTGTCCAGACCTGTCCCAGGCTGCCCAGGGCAGTGGTGGAGTCCTTATCCCTGGAGGGGTTTCCAAGCCATGGAGATGTGGTGCTGAGGGACATGGGTCAGTGGGGACCTGGCAGTGATGGGGAATGGGTAGAATTAATGATCCTGAAGGTCCCTTTCAACCCAAACAGTTCTATGAACACAGGATTAAAGTGACCATAGATAAAGGATTAAAGACTAAGTAACTTGCACACTCTCACAGCCAGTTCATATACTGTTGAAGCAGAACAAAATAAAGAAGTGGTCCAACACTCTGTTCTCTTAAATGTACAAACTAGCAAGGCTAACAGAGACTTAAAAAACAAAACAAAACAAGAAAACAAATAAAATATTTATGTATTATAAAAGTTCAAGAGCTGCTTCAGCCCACGCTGTATTAATTCAAGAAGGGACTGGGAAAATTCTTCTAAATAGCCTGTCCCAAAAACTTCTCTTTCTCCTCTTGAGCTAAGAGCAAGTGTATTATGGTTGATATTATCAGGAATTAATTATCCATACTACTGTGCTTGTACTCAATCTTGGCTTCTAATCAGCAATTAATACATGCAAGCTGACATGAAAACCTGTCCAAACATCACCTGCACTATTCCTATTTTTCTAATGATTTATCAATTAAATACAAAGAAAAGAAAAAACAAGCAAGCCATGAGCATCTACACAGCCAACCTGAAAATCAGCGAGATAAAATATAAAATAGAACCATCTGCTTTCTAAAAAAGAACACCCCAACAACACGTAAAGTAAATTAACTTACTTTTTTGATGTAATTATAGGCAGGTTTATGTTAGCACCTGTATAAAGAAAAATCATACCTTGTTTCACCAATATGAAAACTTTTTAAATAGGATTTTCAGCACTGAGCTAACCTTCAGCCTGATATTTACCCACATTTTCAATCTCCTCTGCCACCGTGGTCCAACTTGTATTCAAGAAGGACACAGTAGAACTAGGAAAGGTGCAAGAGATAACAAAGATAGAAGGCCCTGCACATGCAGAACAACTACATACGTTATTTTTCTCCAGCCTGTAAAAGGACAGTCTTCTTATGAACACCACATGTAACTGGCTGTAAGCAAATTTAAAATTTCACAAAGCCCTTGCTTCATGATTTTAGGGACACTAAAATCTACAGATTAAAACCAAAGAAAACTGTTACAGGAAGAACAGTGCAAGGATGAACTTACCGACTTGCTAAGCCACAGATCAGTGGAGGCCAGGAGAATATACCAAGGAGCTACTGACACACATTCCCTGTTCTTTTTTTTTTTTTTTTCTGGGGATTTTGTATTGCTTATCAGAAACAAGGGATAGAGGGGAGAGAGACCCTTGCTGTGAGCCAGTAGAGAAGTACGAATGGGCACAAGTTACCTTGCCACTTAGCAACCAGCGAAGGATCTGAAATGCTGTACACTGGTCGACTTCTTGAAAGGATACCTTTTCCAAAATAGCCCTTCAAAGAAAAGGAAAAATCCTTATTGTATCCTTTACTGTATTGTTACCTCAAACCAAACTTCTTTCCAAATATAAAATATTTACTGTCAAAACCAGCTAGAAAACAAAACAAAACAACCCTGAAATTCTGCAGCATTTAAAGTCTGTAGCAACTACAAGCAACTACTGAAAACTACTTCAATATTAAACATCTGTACTAAAAAGATTTAACCAGTCAGTGGAGGGTGCTGAGTTTTTTTGCCTATTCTAAATATTTGTCAGTCAGCATCGCCATGAAAACACTTGTGTATCAACATTGTGACAATGCATAAGGAAGAACAAAGAGATGGATAAAGCTTAAGAATTATGGTGAAATGGTACTTGGACATAAGAGGCTTAATGTAGCTTATTCTACGCAGAAAGAAATCACTCTGGGCTTAAAAGAATGATAGAAGTGTTTATAAAAAATCAATATTCCAATCTCCTTAGCTTTAAAACCAAGGAAATACTTTTTGCAAGGTTGCATTAAATGTTGAAAGGAGAAACAAATGTAACAGACACTAAGTCTTTGCAGCTGTTTTTTCAGCTCACAACATCACTTCATTCCAGAATCTATTTCCTGGGATAAAAATGAAACACTTTTCATATTTGATAGAGAATATATGTTTTGTACTGATTTCAGGAGAGGAAGAAGATGCAGAAAACTATTGAAGGATAAAAGGGAAGGAAAAAGGCAGGCTGATTTTAACACATATTGTACTCTACCTACACCTAAAACCCTAAAAATACTGTGGAAACGGGGTACAGCACCTTGTTATAAAGCTGTTCAATATCTTCAGGGTTCCTCACAATAACATTGTTGTTCATGATTTCAGCCTGGCACATTCTGAAATCCTTCCCACCTACATCTACAGGAAAGGGAGAGTCATATGACTCAAAAACTCTTCTTTTCCTTCTTGGGGGATGAAAAACCGCTTCTGCCATTTCCTAATGTTTCCTCCTAAGAAGTGGACAGAAAATATTTAGTGCTCAGGAGTTAAAGTTCACCCATTTTTACACATTTCAGCAATATTCCCTTCCCAACAGCAAATTACCAATAAACCTGACAGTATAACCAGAGTTTAATTCTGTAACTGTAATGCCAGATGAACATAAGCAGCGATTTGCTAGTGTCATCTGTTAATCTTTTTCTCTTGGGTATTGCAGTATCCTCTGAAGACCAGGTAGGGATAGTTCTCAGCCAGGAGCTTATAATGTAAACTTAAGATACAAGGTGAGTAAAGAAACTGCTAAAAGCGTTTGAAGAATAAAACAGACGAATGAGTAGAATAAGCAGAAACCGCAGGACACAAGTGCCCAAGTATAAACTCTTTTGAATAATGATGGGAATAAATTCAGAGGAAAGAGCAGCGGCTTGGCAGGTCTCCCTTCTTTAAACAGAACAGCCGCTTCACAGTGAAGCGGGACAGAGCAGGGGGCGCGGGGGACAGGAGACCTTCACCACCAGACCCACCCACCGAGGAGGGGGCGCGGCGCTATCGCGACAGCGGAGCGGGGCACAAGCCTTGCTGATGCGGGCGCAGGAACCGTTCCCGGCGGGATAACCGAAACACTCAGCTCCGCCCGGAGCCCTGCGCGGCGCTGCGGCCGCGGTAGGAGACCCCGCGACGGGGGCCAGGCCAAGAAGTAGGCC